TAATTTAAGATAAAAGAACAGTTAGACAGAAGCCTGCCACGGCCATACAGTTTGTATGCAATATAAGTCTCTGTGTTTACTTGGTTGGGTCTGAGTGGCTGTGGGACTGGCGGGTGACAAAGATTTGTCCTGACTGTGGGCAAAGCAGGAAAACTCTAGCTACAAGTCCACATTATCTCAGAGGGACCAGAGAATTCCGAATCCTGTGAGGTAAGTCAGCAGGTCCCCAAGCAATGGGAGTGCCGGAATCCAGCTGTGAACTCTTGGAGATGGGCAACTTCTGAGCCTCCAGACAGGTACCTAAGTGGCCTGCAGTCACTGCTTCCCAGCACTGCCTGGTCTTTGGAAGGCTGTGAAGGATTGGGGCTGGCAGGAGGGTATCCATCTTCTGGGGAGGGGAACCTTGGTCTACCCTACAATGGTTTGGATTATTGAGTATCCCTCAAAGCATACAGAATTAAGTGTTTGGCCCCCTTCCTATGGTGCTGTTGAGAGACAGTGAAAAATTTTAAGAGATGGTGGGCTTAGTTGGAAATCTTTAGATGGCTGGGGGTACTCTTGAAGGGGATAGTGGGACCCTGGTCATTCCTCTTCCTCTCTTTCCTCACCATGAGGTGAGCTGTGCCTTTGCCCACAAGATGGGCTGCTCAAGCCCCACCCTGCAGCTCCACCATTCACAGAAGCACTGAAGCCACGAGCCAAAGTAAACACTTTCTCTCTCCAAACTGAGTATCTCGGGTATTTTCAGAGTTACAGAAACCTAACTCATACATGCTCTCTGGGGCCAAGACCAATGCTGATGGCCAGTGAGGCCTGTGGATGGCAGTGTGGCCTGGAGAACTTGTCAGCGTACTTCGGGAGCCTTCAGGTGGAGCTCAGCTCCTCACATCCCAGGCCTGTCAGCTGAGGACCGCACTCTGAGGAGAACAGGACGTAGGCACTGGTCAGGCAGGGCAGGGACTCCAAAGCAGCAGCTCAGGCAGGAAGCTGGAAGCCAGGATGCCAGATGAGTGTTCTGATCCCAGGTCCCTTCTCTTCTCTCATCCCCGTCAGGAAGCTCTACATGAGGATGTGACCAAAACTGTGAGGAGGCACCTGGACATCTGTGGTCGTGCCAGTTAGACTGACCAGCTCCAACCCCTGCCCGTGTTTCTCCTCAGTTTCCACCATCAGTTCCTTAAAAAGCCCCCAGGCTAGCAACTCCACGAGACCCTACGTCTTGGAACCTCCTTCTGTCCACCCCTTAAACTGCAGCCTGTGACTTTGTAATAAACTCCTTATAAAACTCACCCGTAGCCTGGAAGTGGTGGCACGTGCCTTTAATCCCAGCACTCAGGAGGCAGAGGCAGGAAGATTTCTGCGAGTTTGAGGCCAGCCTGGTCTACAGAGAGAGTTCTAGGACAGCCAGGGCTACACAGAAAAACTCTGTCTCAAAAAACCAAAAGACCAAACCAAACCAAAACAACAACAAAATCCCTCACTCTTTATGGTCCATGAATTTCATTCCTCAAATTTTCACAAGAACCTGGAAGCCACCGACTCAGTGGATGTTTTGTGTGACTGTCAACATCTGGCACCCTAACTCCAGAGTCAAGCCCACCTGAAACAAGAGGACTTGTCTCAAGAGGACTCTGAACTCAGACACCCCCAAATTTCCTGCATCCACTAACCTTGGACACCCTCAAATAGTTGTAGTAGGTTTAGTGTATTCTCACACCTCTGAGGATTCTACACGTACCACCACCAAAAACACATTTTATTTTATTTTATTTTTAAAGATTTATTTATTTATTATGTATACAGTGTTCTGCCTGCATGTATGCTTGCATACCAGAAGAGGGCACCAGACCTCATTACAGATGGTTGTAAACCACCATATGGTTGCTGGGAATTGAACTCAGGACCTCTGGAAGAGCAGCCAGTGCCCTTAACCTCTGAGCCATCTCTCCAGCCCCTCAAAAGCACATTTTAAATGGATGACTTGACCAGTATTTGAATTATATCTCTATAAAGATAACCCAAGAAAAAGGGCCACACAAATATGCCCAGATAAGGTACAAAAGCAAGAAAGAAAGTCGTTTTAGCAAATGGTGATGGAGTGATTGGGCATGTCTAGGAAGACAAAGAAAAAGCTCAACCTAAGACTCATTACTTATACAAATATTAACTCAAAACTGATGGGGTGATTTAAATGTAAAATAATACAGCCTTCAGAGAAAACTGGGAGGAAATACTCAGGATGTACAGTGATGTGAAATTTTCTTAGATGGGGTGGGGCTGGCATATGGTAGCAGAATATTTGCTGGCATTGCATGTCCAAGGCCATGATGCTATTGGATTCACACTGCTCCAACAAGCCAAGATTGGTCACCCATCCTTGATAGGCCAATAAAAGAGCCAAATTAATAGTGAAAGGGAGACTTAGCCAATGTGGCCACACTGTAAAGAGGTCAAAAGAGATGTAGAGACACCCATACCCCCACACCCCCACATCCCCCAGTCCATTTTATAGATGCCAATGTGAGGATTAAGCTTAATTAGAAGGCATTTGAATGCTTAATTAGGCAAACTGAGTCATGTGTGGACCGATCCATCATGGTCTTCCCAGCAGACTGGAACCCTCAAGCTGGTACGAGCTTTCAATACTTTCTTTCTCCCAGCAGGAGAATCCCAGGGGACATTCCAGTTCCCAATTCCCGGGGTGGGAGTGGGTTGTACCTTGTTTTAGTAGTCTAGATGCTAGAGTGAGAGACACAAGTCTCTTTGGAATATTCTCCCTCCTCCTGGGCACTCCACTTGCACTGATAATCCCCCAATAAACAAAGAAACCTTACGCAGGCATCAGAAATGTAAACCATGAAATAAATGACGAGTTGGACACGTTAGAATTAACTACATTTGCACAGTAGACCCTTTAGGAGGATGAATAGACAAGCCATAGACTAAGAGAAAAGTGTGTCTGACAGGGACCAGTGTGTGGGCTACCCACAGAACTCTCAAATCCAACAGCAAGGAAAATAAGGGACGAGGGGAATTTGATTAGAAAAGGGCTAGCTGACATAAACAGACATTCCTTTGAAGAGGTCATACAGACAACAAACCAGCAGAGGAAAAGATACTCATTAGCCATTCAGTAAAGTCAAATTAGAGCCACAATAAAACATTGTGACGTACTCATCAGGATGGATAGTGCACCTGCACACACGCACTTAAATGTTGGCAAAGATGCGGAGAAACTGAGTCACTCATATGTTTGGTGGGTGAGGATGTAAGATGGAACAGACTCTGGAAAAGAAATGGGAAGTTCCTTAAAAAAATTAATCATCCGACTATCTAATATGACCTGGTCATTAATTGCCTATGCATTTATTCTCTGTGAATGAGGCCGTAGGTCAACACCAGGAAGTGATGTCCCTGTCTTTTAACTGGTGAATGCTTAAACCATCTGTGGCACCCACTGTGAAGATCTACTCATCCATAAAGCATATGAACAATTCAACCGTATCACAAACCCCGATGTCTCTAAACATCTCACTGGCTGTCAGGGGACCGGTGTGGGGAGTGTGCTGTGTAGTGTTTGACTGTCAGCTTGATTCAAACCTAGACATAGCTCTGGAAATGGAACATACATTGAAAAAATGCCTCCATCTGATTGGACACGTCTTGGGGCATTTTCTTGCTTGCTAATTGATGTGGGAGGGTCCAGCTCACTTCAGAGGTGTCATTCCTAGGTAGGTGGGCCTGGGCTGTGTAAGAAAGGCAGCTGAGCACGCCAGTGAGCTCACAGGCAAGCAGGCGAGCAGCACCTCTGCTTCCGTTCCTTCCCTGACTTCTCTCAGTGAGGGGCTGTAAACTGTAAGCCGGAATAGACCCTTTCCTCCCCATGTTGCTTTTGGTCATGACGTTTATCAGAGCAGCAGGAAGTAAACAAGGACAGGCAGCCAGTCTCCAAAGATTCCCTCCTACTGATTAGATCAGGAGATGAACTGGTCACGTGGGGCAGGGACCCTAAAGCATCACTTCTAATAATGTCCTTGCTGGAAGCCAGGATGCCCGAGACTGTTCAGATGCCAAGTTCCTTTCTATCTCTTACCCTTCTAGAAGCTATCCATGAGATGGGTCCAAAATTGAGAGGAGGCACCAGAACACTTTGTTGGGCAAACTGCTCTGATCAGCTCAACTCTTTCCCCATGCCTCTCCCCAGTTTCTGCTGTAAATCTTTTAATATGCCCCCCAGATTAGCAACTCAATGGTATCCCATTCCTTGGAACCCATCTGCTATCCAGGAACCCTGCCCAAAACCCTAAGATCCCACCTATAAATCTAAGGTAAACCTGAAAGTTCTTGGATTTGGAGTTGGACTGGGCCGCTGTGATGGATTATTCTTTTGTATAAGAAATTTATTGGAAGAGTTATTAATGCTATAGACAGCACCTTGGCAGTGGGATCTGAGGAGACTTCTGGCCTGAGGCAGAGTGGTGGTTACTTCCTACAGGTTTCAGAACCATGGAGGTGGCTGATGAATACTCCATAGCAGGACCCTTGTGGTCAGGTTGGCTCTATTGCTTGGGCAGCAGGGAAAGAAGAGATTTTGCACTCTTTGGAAGGAGTGTGTGGTCTTGGGGGTGTGAGGGTAGGAATGGGAGCCATTCAGTTAATGTGTATCCTTCATTTCAGGTCTGTCATCGGTAGCTCCCGATAGCTTGGAGCCTGTTAGTCTGGGACTTGTCTGCAAAACCAACTACCTGTGGGCCTCCTGCTCAGCGTCTAGTCTGGGATCTAAAAACATTCCTCCTCAAACTCACCATCCCTGCTCTGTGAATTTCATTCTGAGTCCATGGAACAAGAACTCAGAGGCCACTGACCCAGTTGAAGTTTCGTGTGACTGTGAGCCCAGGGCACCCTGAGTCCTGAGTTAAAGCCGACCTGAGGTGAAAGGAAAGGTCTCCTTCAGTGTAGCCCAACAAGCCTTTCCTCTCCTCCGGGCTGTGCATGGGGAGGAAGAAACGAGGAGGGGAAATTCCCCCAGATGCGCTGGAGACGAGAGCAAAGGAGTTTGGAAGATGGCCCACCTTGCCTTCTGTTTGTCCTATGGCAGCTAACAAGGCCCTCAACTGTCTCGGTTTAGCTCAGACCTTAAAAGGGAAACGGGTGTTAGTAAAAGACAGGATTACCTGAAAGAGAGAAAAAATACCTTTTTTTCTGCACTTGAGATTGGCCTAAATTTATCCTGGAGGATTAAAAACAATGGTCTGTAGAAGAACATATCAACCATGGTATTATATTCATTTACAGCTTGATCGCTCTGTAGGAAGGAGGGAACTCACCGAGTTATAGTTTTCCTGCCTCTACTACAGGCACATGCTCACTGATTGAACCTTCAGACTTCTATGCACGGTCACTCTCACGTCTAGCCAGGGAGGATGTGGGGTAAGAAAAATGCTTCTGTTAGCCTCATCCTCTAGCCAGGGAGGATCTCAAGTTAGATGTGGGGAAAGACAAACGCTTCTGTTAGCCTCATCCTTCTTGGTCATAGGTGCTAGCTGCCATGTGCTCATGACACTAAAAAAACCTTAAAGATAGCAGAGGTGCAACTTCAAAATCAAGTGCTCCCTCCCTTTTTACGATCAGAGGAAAGAGACTGTTCTTACCAGTCCCCATTCCCAACACAGGACAGCAGGCAATGGCCACTTGCTGGTAACTTGAGCATGATGGTTTAACAGGGCTTCCTTAATTGATTTCTGCTGACTGTTAGGCATATGGATTCAAAGATGTTTAAATACCCACCTGCTATGTATTTAGTACTTACGTTTCTATGTATTTGGCAAATTCACTCATTTAAACCAAAGGCACATCTATGGTAGAGCATTCCCTGGACTGCACTGAACACAAGGAGATTTTTGTTTTCTATGAAGTTTGCTTGGGAGCTTTTTTAAGCTTCACAGGTTAACATATGTATACAGCTATTCTAATTTTATTACATTATGCTATGTATGTACTTCGGATTTAACTCTTTTCCAATAAGATGGTAAATCTGTTTGTTAGTGTTGTCACGCCTC